AAAAAGTTACTTGAATTTCCAGTGTAATAAAATGGTACAGAAATTACCCTGGGCTTTTAGATATATATCAAAAGCCAAACTATGTGCTTTAGGTCACCAGAAAGCAAGTACAGACATGTTATGAAGACTATTTTTGAAAACATATCTGATATTTCAAAATAAACCATTTAAATAGTCATCAAGGTTAAAAGAAAATCAGAACTTGGTTTTATTCCCATCGTCGTTGCAGATGTGTGTATTGCATTTGTTTTGAATTATATTTAGGAGAGGGGGAAAGGATGCAGCAAAAATCTGATGTTCAGAATTTCAGAAGTTTATTATTTTTCTGCTCCTGAAACTATTAAAGGCAATTCACAAAGTAAAGACCCAGCTGCAAATTCAAAGGATTGCTGGATCTTTTTGAGGACCCCTTCCTTCCCTTTGTCTCCATATTAGACCTGATTTGAGTCTAGTTTAAGATCTAATGCACAGCCAAAAGAAAGGGGACAGTAGGATGATAACCTTATCTATAGCCCTGATTGTGATTTCAACTAGTCTTTTGGTTTGAATTGCTTTTATAAGTTCAGTAAATCTAGGAGGCTGACATTTATTCCTTAGTCAATCTAATTTGTACATACAACGGCTCCTCCAGTCACTAGAAAGAACAATGGTGAAATTAACTTTGGGCTAGAGTTGAAACCCCTGGCATTCACTGGGTGAAAATAAAAGAAACCAGGTAGCTCAAATTATATTAGTTAACCAAAGAGCAAGATGGCACAGACGGACATTTCTGTCCATTATCTTCTGCTAAGGTAACTCCTGCAGAAAATTCTTTCACTGAGAACCATAGTGTTTTTCCTTATTTACCAAGTCATATTATTACTAAGGCAAATTCAGGTTGCATATGCTTTCATGGTCATTCTAAATAACAAATGCTAAGTGCACTTGGGTGGCTCAGTTGGTTAAGCATCTGGCTCTTCACTTTGGCTCAGGCCATGATCTCACAATTTGTGGGTTGTCTCTCTCTCTGTCTCTCCCACATTCTCTGCCACTCTCCCACTCATGTGCTCTGTCTCTCTCTCAAAATAAATAAATAAACTTTAAAAATAAATAAAATACCTAATGCTAAAGTGTGAGCATGAAGAGGATATGTGTGGTAGTCTCTAGTACATACTTTGTGGACCACTTCTTCATGCTCTCATAAAGTACTGAGTGACAGTACTTTAGTCACTCAACTATGTAAGTGGATATAATGGTTGAATAAGGCAAAACCTCTTTTATCAAGAAAATTACTATCAATCTATCTATACACAAACACACACACTCAGAGAGAGAGAGAGAAAGACAGAGAGACAGAGAGAGACAGAGAGAGATTAGTGAACAATAAATTATCCTAAAACTTAGTGGCTTAAAATAGCATTTATTTCCATATGAGATAATAACAGAAAAAGAGAGATAGAGAGTTATGAGATTATAAACAGAGAAATGAGACAATGAAAGAATTTGAGAACACCTTAGGCAGGTGGTCCTGGTATCAGATCTTTTCTGAGGTGACAGTCAACATAATTTTCTTTTTTTTTTAATTTTTTAAAAGTTTTATTTTTGAGAGAGAGAGAGAGAGAGAGACAGCATGAGCAGGAGAGGGTCAGAGAGAGAGAGGGAGACACAGAATCTGAAACAGGCTCCAGGTTCTGAGCTGTCAGCACAGAGCCCAACACAGGGCTCAAACCCACAAACCATGAGATCTGACCTGAGCCAAAGTTGGACGCTTAACCGACTGAGCCACCCAGGCGCCCCGGTCAACATAATTTTCTTACTGTTGTTGTTTTTAAATTTCACATATAAGTGATATTGTACAGGATCTGTTTTTTCTCTGTCTGGTTTATTTTACTTATCATAATGCCCTCCAGGTTCATCTGTGTTCTTACAAATGACAGAATGTCCTTTCTAAGGCTGAATAATATTTCATCGTATATACACTATATTTTCTTTATCATTCAGCCACTGATGGGCACTTAAGGTTGTTTCCATACGTTGGCTATAGCGCTACTATGAACATAAGGCTACAGCTATCTCTCTGAGATAGTGATTTTGTTTCCTTTGGGTAAATACCCAAAACTGGGGTTGCTGGGTAGTAAGGCAATTTTTATGACTGACTGATTGATTGATTGCTATAAGAATTCCTGACCGGTCAGATTTGTAATGAATTTTTACTACTCTTCAGGTTTTTCTGTGTTTGTTTTCCTATTGGCTAAAGTAAGTGGCTATTAGAGACCAAGATCAACCAGGTTGATTAGGGACAGCACAAAAAGCAAAGAACATTGTCTGAGGAGTCACAACCTCCTGGAGTTTTCTGCTCAACAAGCTCTGTGTCCTGAGGAAGGCTTCAAACTTCTCTGTGACTTTTCTTTAAATCAGCCTGACTATAAGAAGTACAACACAAACATTCTATGGTATCAACGAATATATTATTATTTTTACTTTTAAAGTATTATTGCTGATGGTATGATTTTCTATCAGCAAAAGAACTGACTGGAATAAAAGAAAATATGCAAATCTAATCTTATTTTTACTGGGAAAATTTTGAGGTTACAGTTCAGAATGAATTTGTGTTAGATAAAGCTTACTTGAGCACAAAGGGAGAATTTACTGGCTTGGAAGTAGTTTTATTTTTAATTTTTGTAGTAGCCTCCATACTGTTTCCATAGTGGCTGTACCAGTTTACATTTTCACCAGCATTGTACAAGGGCTCTGTTTTCTCCATATTTTTACCAAAGTTTGTTACTTCTTGCCTTCTAATATAGATATCCTAACAAATATAAAGTGGTATCTCATTGTGGTTTTGATTTGCATTTACCTGATAAACAGTACTGTTAAGTATCTTGCCATTAATGTGTTAGTCATTGTATGTCTTCATTAAAAATGTTTGTTTAGGTACTTTGTCCATTTTTAATAGTTTTTTTTTGTTAAATTATATGAGTTCATTGTATATTTATATATTAACTACTTATCAGATATCTGGCTTACAAATAGTTTCTCCCATTCTATAGGTTTCCTTTTCATTTTGCTGACAATTTTCTTTGCTATGCAGAAGAGAATGTTAGACTTTTGTTGCTGGGTTATAACAGCTCATTATATATTCTGGTTACTAGTATGTTATCAGATATAATTTGCAAATATTTTTTTTACACTGAGTGATATTTATACTTTCTTGTTAGTGTCCTTTAAGTACCCAAAATTTTAATTTCAATGAGTTCAATTTATTAATTTTTTCTTCTGTTTTGTGTGTGTGTGTGTGTGTGTGTGTGTGTGTGTGTGTTTAGGGGTCATATCTAAGAAACCATGGTAAAATACAAGATCAGGAAGATCTACCCTTATGTTTTCTTCTAAGTGTTTTATTTTTTTAACTCCTACATTTAGGTCTTTGATTAATTTTAGTTAATTTTTATGTGTGTTGTGAGGTAGGAGTTCAAGTTCATCCTTTTGCATATGCATATCCAGTTGTTTCAGAATCAGTTACTGAAAAGACTATTTTTGGGGATTCTTGTTGAAAATCCATAAGCCATGGATTAACACACGTATTTTGACAGCCCCAACTCTATTCCATAGATTTAATTTTTGTTCTTTATGCCAGTACCACATTGTTTTGACTGCTATACTATATGTGTGTGTATGTATATGCATATATTTGGAAATTAAGAGGTATGAGACCTCCAGTTTTGTTCTCCTTTTTCAAGATTGTTTTGGCAATGTGGGGTCCCTTGTAATTCTATATAAATCTCAGGATTAGCTCTTCCAGTTCTGCAAAAAATGTGCTGTTTTGAGACTGTATTGTGTCTATAGATCATTTTTTTGGAGTCTTGTCATCTCAAAGACAATTCTTACCAATTCCTACTATCTTACTAATTAATTCTTTCAATTCATAAGCACATGACTTTTCACTTATGGGTTTTTCTTTAAATTCTTTCAACTCACGTTGTAGTGTTCAGTGTAAAAATCTTACACCTCGTTGGTGAAATTCATTTCAAAATATTCTAAGTATTTCTAAATACTTTATTTTTTGGATGCCTCTGTAAATGGAATTGTTAGTCTTATCTTTTAAACATGCTATGGTAAGAAAAATATTTTTGTTCTTTTTCATTTATATATTCATTAGTGGTTTATATAGCTGAATTTTTAAAAAATGTTTTTATGTTTTTATTTATTTTTGAGAGACAGGCAGAGCATGAGTGAGAGAGTGGCAGAGAGAGAGAGGGAGACATAGAATCTGAAGCAGGCTCCAGGTTCCGAAGTGTCAGCACAGAGCCTCACATGGGGCTCGAAGTGGTGAACTGCTAGATCATGACCTGAGCTGAAGTGGGACACTTAACCAACTGAGCTACCCGGGTGCCTCTATAACAGAATTCTTAAAGTCTTATTTTGTTCCTTATATTTTTTTTAGAGTTGTTAATTATTGTAATGCTCAAAATTTCTCGCATTTGGCAAATAAGAGCCCCTTTAAGCTGGCTTCTGTAGTTTTTAAAGATTTTTTATATAATGTATTTATTTTTGAGAGAGAGACAGAGCATGAGCAGGGGAGGAGCAGAGAGAGAGAGAGGGAGACACAGAATGCAAAGCAGGCTCCAGGCTCTGAGCTGTCAGCATAGAGTCTCATGTGGGGTTCAAACCCATGAACAGTGAGCTGATGACCTGAGCTGAAATTGGATGCTTAACTGACTGAGCTACGTAGGTGCCCTTGAATTCTGTATTTTATTGGTGTTTCTATCATTCTTTGAAAACCTCCTTTGTTACCAAAACAGGATATTCCAGGATCAACTAATAATTTTCCTTACACAATCTCATAATAACCTTGATGCTGGGAACACTGGAACATTTTTACAGATAATGATATTTTGGAAACAAAGATCTATAGAACTATACATCATTAAAATATTTAATTAATAATTTTCTCATATTGCATCTTTTGAAAAATCACAGAATATGGCTTACTAACTCACTTTTTCCCCCATTTCTTCTTGTAGTCCCTCCAGTGATCCGAGTGTATCCAGAGAGTCAGGCTCGAGAACCAGGGGTAACTGCAAGTCTCAGGTGCCATGCAGAGGGCATACCAAACCCTCAGCTTGGCTGGCTGAAGAATGGAATTGACATTACACCAAAGCTGTCCAAACAACTCACACTACAAGGTGCTTTTTATTTGTGTTTTTTCTTCTCAATTGGTCATGTAGAAATTGTATATTAAAGTTTATAACACAGTCTACATGATTTGGAAAAAAAAAAAAAGAAAATGAGTTGATGACCACAAAATGTCATGAAATGAAAAGAATATAGTTGATTCTAAGACATTATATCTGAAATAGAGTACTTCAGTACTTTTAGTGTTTCAATAAAAATCTTCCCATAATAATTGATTATGTCGTTATTTTGGCAATAAGTAAAATAGTATATTGTGTATCTTTTAAATAATTTTGTTATGAATTATAGAAGATATGCTGAACAGAATAAAGTTTTGCAAGAATGTGACAAGTGAAAGTTGAGTAGGGAATACAACCTAAGAGATAAATCTGGTTGCATAAGAGTATTGAATTTCATGTAGCTTTCTCTATGATTATATATTACCAATACTATAGTTAATCAATTATCCATTTATTAAACAAATGCTTAGTTAGCATTTATGTGTGAGGTCCAAATCTAAGCACTGGTTGAATAACTACATCCATGGATGGGATGATATGTTAATGAGAGGAAGTAAAACCCTAGAACAGCAGAGATGTTTAATGGCCAAGGCAAATCAAGATTAATAACACAAGGAGACTGAAAATCAACAAGGAAGCATGAGAACAAGGTGATTCTACAGAAGAAAATAAAGCTAAGTATGGGAAGAAGTTCAACAATGTCAAATGCATAGAAAGATCAAGGAACGTCATTGAAATGTATTCACGAGTCAGGTAATTAGGTTTGGCCTTTTGACATTTAGAAAAGCAATATTAGTAGCAATCAGTCTTCAGTGGGTTTAGAAATGAAAATGAAATAGGAAGTATAAAAATCTCTCCAGCTTTTGAAAGGAGGGGGATAAAAGGTTGTTTTTGCTGAGGAAAAGGATTAGGACAAATAAAGATATTGTTTTTTTCTTAAACAATGCATCAATTTGAAGGAATATTAGTAAAGAAAATGATGTGTAGATGATGGAGGTGAGGAAGGATGATCAAATAATTATAGAAATCAGAAAGAAAAGAGGGGAGATTTTCCTTGGAAAGAAACGAGAGAGTTTCCTTTGAAAAGTGAATAAATATGAAAATGTAGATAGAAATAGGAAGTTGTCCTAACTCATATTCCTAGTTTTTACTGAAATATAATTGACATAACATTTTGCTAGTTTAGGTATAAAATGTGATGATTTAATAACCATGTGTATTGCAAAATGATTTGATTTCAATTTCTAATTACATGTATGTATTTCATTATTTAAAAGCAAGGTCACCTGCATAGAGTAAGAAGTTAATATCAAGAAGGGAAATATCAAAGAGTAAAGATTTGAAATAAAAATGGAGCAGGAAATGAAAGGCATGTAACTATAAAGGTCAGGTGAAATAAATAGCAAGTAGCATTGAACATCCTGCAAACTGAAAACTGTGAATTAGAAAATCTGTAAATTTGCTTATGCAGTAGTCTCTTAATGTACTCAAAAAACTAGACGCAGGGACATCAAGTGTGGAGATTTGTCAGCTTGTTCTAGTTTGGGCAGTTAGTAAGGCCTATGTGTCAGAATGATAAATGGATGACGGAATTGTTCGTTCTGGCAATAGAGTAGAAAACATCTAGGAATGGTGGATTATGCAGAGAAGGAGGAAGATGGTGAGGCCTGTAGGTTAGTAGAATATATAAGAATATTGAGAAGAGGAGATTTGAGGAAGGAATAAGTTGACTTGATATTTCAAAAAAAAAAATATCTAGAGAATTGAGGATGTTAAGCGTGTGGGTCTTTAGAGAAGGTGTGTTCTTCAGAGCGAGCCATATTTCATGTGAAACAAGAAGCTGATGCAAGGGGCACCTGGGTGGCTCAGTCGCCTAAGCGTCTGACTTTGGCTCAGGTCATGATCTCATAGTTCATGGGTTGGAGCCCTGCTTTGGGCTCTGTGCTGACAACTTAGAGCCCGGAGCCTGTTTCAGATTCTGTGTGTCTCTCTCTCTGACCCTCCCCTGCTCACACTGTCTCTCTTTCTTTCTCTCAGAAATAAATAAAAATTTAAAAAAAGACGAAAAAGCTGATGCAGGCTTAAACACATGTTACCTCCTTATCTTTCAGAGCAGGGGTCTACAAACTAAGGCCCATAAATCAGATCTGGGAAGCTGCCTGTTTTGTGAATAAGGTCAATTGGGGGGCTTTGTTTCTGTGTTTGTCTTTAGAACACAGCGACACTCATGCTGTAAAATATTGTCCATGGCTGCTTTCATGCCACTGTGGCAGAGATGAGCAGTTGTCACACATACGACATGGCCTACAAAGCATAAAATATTTGCCATGCCTTTTACAGCAAAGAAACAAAACCAAAAACAAATCTCCAACCTCCCTTTTGCAGTAGTGATTCTCAACAATGGATGGGGGTCGGGGGGGGGAGGTGAAGGGGGAAATGTGCAATAACATCTGGAAATGGAGAGAGAGGTTCAAGTAGTCTGAATGGCTATTCTTCCCCAAACACTCGTTGCCTCTCCATAGCCTCCTGTTCACATCCCCTGAGAGCTACTGACATTTCAAGCTCTTTTCCCACTGTTCTGTCTTCTTTCTCCAGACAGCCACACAAGACATGGCGCATGGTGTTATTGTGATTGGATAACATGAGACACAAGTATGCGCAGACACACTTAAAGAAATAAAGTATACAAGCAAAAATAAAAATAAACAAATGAGCACAACAAACACTGGATTTTTGAATCCAATAGGTTTCCAGACCCCATGTTTTGAGTTGAGTGATATATGTAAGATCATTCTTTGAGTCTCAGATTCTGCTTCTGAGAATTATGTATTACTTAGGACAGTTAACACATAGTATATATAAGAGCACCTTGTATATTTCCAACATAGAGTCAGTAATTATACTCTGGTATCCACATTAGGGAATGGAACTCATTAATTAGGGATTAGCCTAAAGTATAATTTTACTGAGACTTGAAACGTGAGCTATTTATTCCCTGAACCCTTTGGTTATACATTGACTGTATCAATTTCCATATTATAATATTGTTTATGCATATTCCTGGCAAAAGACTAAAATCTTGCAAACAAATCATGTGCTTTTATCTTTCTGTTTTCCTTACTTAATAATTCCCTTACCTTATAATTCCAGATATATAATACAGGCTCAATAATGTTCTTGACAAGTGGCAATTGTACTATAGTTGCATAATGTACCTTGCTTGATTTTTTTATTAAGTCTTTTTATACGTATTCCCCTGTATTTAAACCATATTGTTATTATTTTAAAATTTTGTAAAGCTTAGGACAAAGTGGATTCTGAATACTAAAAATAAATAAATAAATAAATAAATAACATTATAGTTATCAATATGAAATACTTATGCAAGGTAGGAAGTAGGAAATAAATATAAAATATAAAGCATGTGCATTTGACATAGAGTTTGGGCTCTCTGTTAACAGAATGACAACACAGTTTATGAAACACTTGAATGCCTTTGGAATAATTTGGCATGCCTCCAAAGCATGGAAGTAGGAAGGAAAACAGTTTAATTAGGACAAGCTAAGAGAACTGCTTGACTGTGTAATCGGAAAGCACTGTACCAAAACTGAAATCATAGTTTACAAGTTGCATTTGCCTTCTGTTTTCAGCAAATGGCAGCGAGGTTCATATAAGCAATGTGCGCTATGAAGATACAGGAGCATACACTTGTATCGCAAAGAATGAAGCAGGAGTGGATGAAGACATCTCTTCTCTTTTTGTGGAAGATTCTGCCCGAAAGACCCGTATGTATTGAATGCCTACCCATACAAAGCGTGACTAGCTGTAGAGCAGGGCTTCTCTGCAGCAGGTGGTTATTGCCACCATGAGATACTCACTGCCCTGCATCTCACATCAATCCCTGGGCTGTTTTCTGCTTTTAGTGCTTGAAACGCTTTGCCATTACTGCACACGTTTCCTAATTGTATCATGAAGCAATGGGAAAAATGTACCATTCATTCTTTTCTTAAAGTTTATTTTTTTTAATGTTTTATTTCTGAGAGAGAGGGAGAGAGACAGAGACAGAGAGAGAGAGAGATAGCATGAGCAGTGGAGGGTCAGAGAGAGGGAGACTCAGAATCTGAAGCAGACTCCAGGCTCTGAGCTAGCTGTCAGCCCAGACCCCGATGTGGGACCCAAACCCACGAACTGTGAGATCATGATCTTAGCCAAAGTCGGACGCTTAACCGACTGAGCCACCCAGGCGCCCCACCATTCATACTTTTTGGGGAACAAAAGCAACAACGAAACTATTACCTAGTGAAAGAGATATGGATAGGGTGCATATGCATTTACAATTCGTATTAATCTAATTTGTTGCAGGGGCCCTGATATTTGGAGGAACTGAGTTCTTGAACAAAGTTAAAGCATTGTCTCAGGAACCTTATTCCTCTTTCAATCAATAAGTACATATAGATATTAGTGAATCCAATGGGGGAGAATGATCTCCAAGTCCTGACTGTCAGTATATCTTTATCTATATTTGGTCTGGCTAGTTCAAGCATTATTACAAGCAAATATTTAAAAAGAAAATTCTTAAGGTAGATAAAGAGAAAACAGGCTAGAGTTAATGATCTGGATAAGGTCCACCTTAATTTTTCTATGCCTTTTATATATTTCTGCTAAATACCTATTTGCAATTCACTTTCTCTTAAAAAATAATTTAGGCGACAAGTAATTGAATAGTTTTCTTTGTCCTTTATCATGAAAACTGTAAGACAGCCTTTAATTTAAACTCTCTAATATGATTTTCTTTTAATGTTGGTCAACTATTTTTTAATATATTTCCCAAGTTACAACATTAAAATACTAGCTATTATTCCTTTAATCAGTGAATCACTTACTATTTACCAGCATGTAACTTTGAGAAGAGTTTTAAGAGAAGATTTAATATAATTTTATTCATAAATTCAGTCACATGAATGTATTTGTTTAATTATAAACAGTTTCTGAAATCATGTTTTTACTTTAAGCTTCTAGAGGTCTAAATAATACATTTTAAATAAATGTTTGAGATTATATACTAGCATGCTATTAAAATCAAAAGTAACATTTGTAAGTTATAGCAATGCAGGCTTAATACATCTATATTTATAGAACTTTCAAATTCATCTTATAAGTAACAATGCAAGTGAAAGATTTGAAGAGTTTTGCTCCCAGGTCTGGATATGATTATTTATAGGTGTTCTTTATGCATTTAATTATGTAACATTTTCAAGGATAAAGAGAGGAAACTAACAGATTTTATTTTTTAATTTAATTAATTCATTTATTCTGGTAGGAACACAGAGTAAATTCTACCTTGTTAAAATTTTAGGTGCACCACATTTCATTGTTAACTATAAGCACTAGATTGTACAACAGATCTCCAGAATTTTTTTGTCTTATAAAACTGTGAGTTTATACACATTGAACAACTTTTCATTTTTCCCTCCTCCACATCACCTCACAGCCACCATTCCATTTTGTTTCTATGACTTTTGACTCTTTTTGATAACTCATATATTTCGATTACACAGTCTTTGTCTTTGTGACTGGCTGTTTCAATTAGCATGGTGTCTTTTAGGTCTATATATAGTGTCACAAATGGTAGGATTTCCTTCTTTTTAAGGTCAAATGATATTCTATTGTATATATGCACAATATTTCCTTAATCCATTCATTCGTCAAAAGATATTTCAGTTGTTTCCATACGTTGGCTCTTGTGAATGATGCTGCAATGAATTTGTGAGTGCAGATATTACTTTGATCCTGATTTCAATTCTTTTGGATATATATACCCAGAAGTTGCATTACTGGACTATATGATGGTTCCGTTTTTAATCTCTGAAGAACCTCTATGTTTTTCTTTTTTTAAAATGTTTTATTTATTTTGAGAGGGAGAGAGAGACAGTGTGAGCAGAGGAGGGTCAGAAAGAGAGGGAGATACAGAATCTGAAGCAGGCTACAGGCTCTGAGCTAGCTTTCACCACAGGGCCCAATGCAGGCTTGAACCCATGGACCAAGAGATCATGACCTGAGCCGAAGTCGGACGCTTAACTGACTAAGCCACCAGGCGCCCCACCTCTATGTTTTTTATAATAACTGCACCATTTTTCATTCCCGTGAATATGCAGGGCACATTCCAATTTCTCCATATCTTTGCCAATACTTTTATTTTTTGTTGCTATAATAATAACCATCCCAACAAGTGTGAGATATCTCATTGTGGTTTTTATTTGCATTTATGATAATTAGTAATGTAGAATATCTTTTCATAAGCCTATTAGCCATTTGTATGTCTTTGGAGTCATTCAAGGCCTTTGCCTACTTGTTTAAAATTAGGTTGTTTCTTTTTTTAAGTTGAGTTATTGAAGTTCCTATATGTACTGGAAATTAAATACTTATCAGGTATATGATATAAACTGAAAATATTTTCTCCCAGTCCTTAGGTTGACTTTTCACTTTCTTGATTGTTTCCCTTATTGTGCAGAAACTTTTTAGTTTGATATAGTCCAACTTGTCTATTTTTGTTTTTGCTGCCTGTGTTTTTGATAAAATTATAGGCCAATATCCTGATGTGCATAGATGCAGAATTCCTCAACAAAATATTAGCAAACTGAATCTAACAGCACAGTAACCAAAGCATACACCATCATCAAGTGGGATTCATCTTTGGAATGCAAGAATGGTTTAACATAGGCAGACCAATAAATGAGATTTGCAATTAAAAAAAAGAATGAAGAGTAAAAAAATCACTTGATTATCTAATAGATGTAGAAAAAGTATTTGACACATTCTTTCATGCTAAAATTGCTCAACAAATTATACATGGAAAGTCATACCTCAAAATAACACAGCTAACATCATACTCAATGGTAAAAAAAGGAAATCTTTCCCTCTCAGCTCCAGAACAAGACAAAGATGCAGAGTCTCAACATTTCAATTCGACATATCACTGGAAATCTTAGCCACAACAATAGACAAGGAAAAGGAAAAAAAAAGTATTCAAAACAGAAAGGAAGAAGTAAAATAGTCTATTTGCAGATGACATGAACTTTTAAATAAAAAGCCCTTACAAAGACTCTGCAATCTGTTAGAACTAATAAACATATTATGTAAGGTTTCAGTGTACAAAATCAGCATGCAAAAATCTGTTATGTTTCTATAAATTAAAATGAGATATCTGAAAGGCAACTAAGAAATGAACTCATTTATAATAGCATCAAAAGGAATAGTGTACTTGGGAATAAACTTAATCAAGGACATGAAAGGCTCGTACACTGAAAACTATAATACACTAGTGAAGGAAATTTAAGACACAAATAAATGGAAAGACATTTTATGTTCATGGTTTAGAAGAACAAATGTTACTAAAATGTTCATATTATCCAAAGAAATATATGACTCAATGCTAATTCCTTCCAAAAACAATGGCCTTTTTTTGCAGAAATATAAAAAAAAATACCCTAAAATTCGTATAGAACAAAAAAAAGATGTCGAATAGCCAAAGTGATCCTGATAAAGAGCAAATGTGGAGGTATCATAATTCTTGATTTCATATAATATATATAAAGCTATAGTAAATAAAACAATATGGTACTTGCATTAAAGACAGATACATAGACAAATGGAACAGAACAGAGACCCGAAAGTAAATCCATGAATGTACAGTTAATTGATCTCCAACAAGAGCACCAGAATATACATTAGAGAAAGGGTAGTCTTTTCAAAAAATGATTCTGGGAAACTGAATATCCACATGTAATAGATGAAAGTGGATCTCAATCTTACACTATATACAAAAGCAACTCAAAATGGATTAAAGATCTAAACATAAGATCTGGAAAGGTAAAACTTCTATGTTTCAGGACATTGATCTTGGCAATGAAAATAATGGATTTTAGCTGTAACCTCAAAGTTTCAAACATTGCTAATTCACGTTTATATTCTACTGTTTTATAGCATGCAATCCAGTTTTTTGGAATAACAAATTTATCTCTCATCTAAATAAATGTCTTTAATTTTTGTGAAGTCCGTTTTCCATAAACTTGATATACTGGTTATTGAGAATTTATATACATATACATAAGTAGATGTGAACACACCCATTTTGGAAATTTATACACATAATTAAAATCAAAATAACACTAAATGAGTAAAATGAGTAGAATACTAGGAACTACAAAAGAGAAGAAATAGAAAATGGAAGAATGTCTATGCAGTAGAAGACAGTTTTCCAGGGGTGTGTCCCATTACTCAAAAAGTCCTGTCAGAATCCTATGTAACAAAAACATCAAAATCAAGTGGAGATCACATTAGAGGAAGTTATGACCTTTTGCAACCTACTTCTTAAAAATTGCCCAAGGTTCTCTTCTAGTAATTCCTTGGACAAAGCCCAATATTAATTATACAAGTTGTATTTGGATAGATATATATTTTGAAAAAAAAAAAACAAAAAACAAAGGAAATAGTCACAGAGCCTTCACTGATGACTTTACTTTTCTCATTTGCACATATTAAAAGATTGTTGACTTGTCCATATTGATCAAAAATAAGTTCAGGGGTCCTTTTTTTCCCATTCAGTGGTGATGGGATACAATGTATCTAAAAAAGCAGATTGGTGTAGTAGAAGAGCATGAACTTGGGCACTAGACAGGAGTTAGAATCATTGTCTTAATAGTCATAATAGTTCTGTGATTTGGAGCGGACAAAACCTCTCTGAGCTTTAATTTATCTATAATATGGAATGAGTACTAACTCACTA